TAACCTTTCTGGAAAGATCTTTGAAATTAGGGAACTTATCATCTACAAAGATTCATACGATCAGATATGACCAGGACATTAAAGGTGTATCAGATGCCTTGAATACACAAAGAAGAAAAACTTTGCCACATTTTCTGAGCCTGGAAAGAAGATGAGGTGAGATTTCAACAGGCAGAGGCGGAGCCAGGGAGGGCCCTCCAGGTAGAGGGAACAGCTGAGCAAAGGCGGAGAGCTCAGGGTGTGTTCGGGGCAGCATGAGTGTCCAGATTCTGGTTTCTTTCTGAGTCAACAGCTCCAGTGCTTATAGTAAGCGGGCCACCCAAGTCCTGCAGGACAGTAAACACCTGTTTGCACAATCGAGGTCACACACAGGGGCGTGTTTGCACAATGACCTGTTTGCACAATCTCAGCCGACTGCTGTATTCCAGCCAAAGCAGGGCCTGGCAGAGGAGCACAGCCTCCTCTTCCGGACACTTCCGCTGGCTAGTCCACCCAGCCCAGCCCAGCCCCAGGTCCCCCTGGAACTCCTGGCTTTTGGGCCCACCCTGCAGCCCCACGCATCTCAGGCAATAACAGAAACAATGAGGACCTTAGCAGCTGGGCTGCTGAAGACAGGGGTTCCCTGCCAGGTTCCCTGGGGGAGATTCCAACCCACAGGCCACAGGCGGGGTCTGATGGAGGGGGTGGGGCAGAGGGCAGGACGGCCAAGGAGGAAGTATCCACAAAGCAGATACTGGGTGCCCATGGAAAGGATGACTCCTCATCTGTCTTGTGCTCTTCAGTTCATCATAGTAAACACTTGTTGAGCACTTACTGTTTGCCTGGCTCTGTTCCACGAACCTTACATGTCACTGATTTCTCTCAAGAATCCTATGAAGCGGGTACTATATAACCCCTCAGAGGTCCAACAACTTGTCCAAACAGGTATTGTAGTGGCACCCCCTTTCTCCACAGAAAAGTCTTCACTGGCCTTCTCCAGAAATCTTCACCAGGGCTGATTTTAGGACTGTCAGCAAAAGAGTCTCTACAAAAGAATTCAATGTAGATAAACTTCCTATTTTCGAGTCGCCCTGTTTTACTTGGCCACTGGCCGGGAAGAAATCGGCACTCCAGGTGCTGGACACCCCCTTACTGGTTTTTCATAAACATGTATCCAGTATAGTAGTTTGTAGAAATGTGCAAACAAGGCCTCTGGCCTTGAGCTGGGCTTCACAGAGATGTCTACATTTTTAAGATAAGTTACAATTGGGCTCCATGGTAACAGCTGGCAGGGGGAGGAAAGAGAGGGGAGAAGAAGCTCCCCCCTTCTCAGGTGTTGTCCTTGAAGGGTTAACCTGCCCAGAACAGTGAAAGAAAAAGCTGCTTTATGTGAACTTCTGCAGACTGTGAACTTCTGAGCCCCTACCCTTACATGCTGGGTATCAAATTCTGAAACTCGGGGTTCAGGGGATTGATTGATTACAGCAAAAGCTGTGCCCTCTGAACCTGGCTGCAGCCAAATAAAGCTGTTTCCTGCTGTCTTAGGTGTCTTGCCTCGTCTGTCCCTACAACAGCATTAATCCCAAAACTAAGCAGTGTGACTTCTCAGCCCACGCTCTTAACCTCTTTATACTCAAGCGCCTCTCCGCAAAAGAAAGTTCTTCCTTAAATCTGACTTTCATTTCTGTAAATGTAACTTTCATTTCATATGTTTCAGTTTCATTTCACAGTGCAGGTCCTCAAAAAAGAGTGGAACACCAGTGAGACCAGAAAAATCTTGCTCCAAAATATTGAAGTGTGCAGAGAAAGGAAACAAGGAAAGCAATTTTATTGAACAGCTACTTTGTGCTGGTTACCAAGCTAGGCATTGAGCTTCTGAAAGGTCATTTAATCCTCACAAAACCCCTTGGGGGGGTAGTCATTATCCCTGTGACAGAAAAGGAAACAGAGGCTTGGAGAGGTGAAACCACTTCTCCAAGATTGGCAGCCCCACAGATAACCATTAGGTAGGTCTCCTCTTGTACCCCCCACGGTGCTGAGCTGGGGAAGCAGAGACAAGAAGGCCATTTCTTTATATATATATAAAATTTTATTTTTCTAGCTGTAGTTGGACACAATACCTTCATTTATTTATTTATTTATTTATTTATTTATTTTTATGTGGTGCCGAGGATCGAACCCAGGGCCTCGCACGTGCTAGGCAAGTGCTCTGCCACTGAGCCACAACCCCAGCCCGAGAAGGCCATTTCTGCCCACAGAGTTCAAGCCTCATGCAGTGGGCGCAAAGCCAACCGTCCACTGCAGTGTTACAGGATGGGTGAGGAGGGGGGACCTGACACAGAAGCCCAAGCTGGTCAGGCACCGGGCCCAGCCAGCAGAGGTGATGGTCGGCAAGGGCACAGGCACCGGGCAGGCAGGGAAACGGGAGATTCAGCAAGATGAGAGCTTGAGGTGGTGCCTCTGGGGAAGCGGAGGCCCGGGAGGCAGGAGGGGGACTGGGGAGGCCCGTGTGTGCTGTTAGGAGTCAGGATGAGACGAAGGATTCTGCAGAGAGGCAGGGGGAGGAGAGGAGCCGCAGAAGTGCTGGCAAGACGGAGGCAAGAGCCGGAGCTGCCCTGGCTCACAAGGGCCCCGCACCCTCTCAACAAGCACTGCTTCCCAGCCATGAGCCAGGACCCTCCCCGGGAACACCTGATGGGAGGGGGTACATGGAAGAGGGGGTGGAAGGATGACTGATGAGGTCCTGGGGTGGGGACCTGGGGCAGGAGGGGATGGTGGCTCATTCACCAAGACGGGGCTTGCAGGAACTGGGGACAGGTTTGATGAAGCGGGGGAAGATCCACCCATTCAACCACTCATCCAGAAAATGCGTACTGAGGTCTCACTGTGAGATGGGCAGAGTCACCAAAGCCAGAGGTAAAGTTTTAATAGCGCAAACAACCACCACCCTCAAGGAACCCCTACCCTTCTAGGCAGGGTAGGGACAGCTAATACCAGATGCTCAAAAGGGAGATAGAGGAAAAGAGAGATGGGGAATGGGGGAGAGGCTGCAGTTTTCTTAAAGGAATCTCAGAGAAGACTTCAGGAGAAGGTGACAAGTGAGTCAAGACTTGAATAAGGGGAGGGAGTGACCCCATGTAGCTATCAAGAGGAAAGAATCCGGGGGTCAAAGAAATAGCAAGTGCAAAGGTCCTGGGGCAAGAAGTAGCCTGACATGTTCAAGAAACACATGTCAGGGGAAACAATGGCTGGGACAAATCAGCAAGAGGGACAGTAATAGGAGAGGGGCCAGGCAGGAAGCAGGGGTGCCTAGCAGACCTTGAAAGGGCTTTGACTTTGATGGACACTGAATGAAGTGGGAGCCACCAGAGGGCTGGGGCTAAGAGTGACAAGACTTTACTATTTGATCACCATCACTCTGGCTGCTGGAGAAGAGCAGACAGGTGCAGGAGGAGGAATAAATGGACACAGAAGACCAGGAAGGGGGCCGTCACCACCATCTGGGCGACAGGGAAGGGTGGCGTGGGCCTTTCTGTCACTGGCATAAGCGGTGAGTTTGTTTTCCAACATGTTGTCAGCAGGATATTCAACACAGCAGAGCCGCATTTCAGCGTGAGCGCCCATATGCCCAGGGCTCTGGCTATTTTCTGAAAGAAGAGTCATGGGATCTGGGGTGCACGGAGCCTGTGGAATGTGCCAGGGAGACGGCAGCAGGCATCTGTCTCGGTACTTGGACCCGGAACCAGACTGACACCTAGGACTGCCCCCTCACACCAGCCCCAGAAGCCCACATCCGCTAAAGGACGGCGTTACCAACAGACACACTGCCACCCTGCTGGTACCTGACCTTTAGTGGGCGGTGAATCTGTGACGCTGAGCAGATTCACAAAAAGGCACAAAAAGGCATCTGTCAACAACTGCAGATGAAAACCATAAAAAGTAGTTTATTTCCCTCAACTGGAAACATTCAGTGTAACACTGTGAGTAAACATCAGTCGTTTTTTAAAATATTTTATTAGCTGTTGATGGACCTTTATTTATTTATATGTGGTGCTGAGAATCGAACCCAGGGCCTTTCAACAAAATCCTAGGCCAGTGCTCTACCGCTGAGCCCCAGCCCCAGCCCCAACATTAGTCATTTTTAATGAGCATATGAAGACCCCAGGACGTACCCCATCAGGACGTACCTGTCTTGTCCCTGGAGCCCCCATTTCTCCATCTGCCTGGCCACGGGCAATGGCGGAGAAGATGGAGTGAAGGGGGGCTGTGTCTTGCTATAAACCCTTCAACCTGGAGGGCACCCTCCTGATGGCCACAAGGATCAGGGTCCTAAGATGTGTGTGGAAAGAGCTGGGGACCGAGGGAGCCTCAGAGCCAGGTGTGTTTCCCAGTGACACTCTCCCAGTGTTACGGTTTGGATGTGAGGTGTCCCCCAAAAGCTCACGTGGGGTCGATGCAAAAGGTACCGAGGGGAACGACCGGGTTATGGGATCCTTGACCTGATCGGTGGGTCGCGCCCCTGACGGGCTGCGCTGAGTGGGGGCTGGAGGCAGGAGGGGCTGGCTGGAGGGGGCATGGGTCCGCGCCTCTGGGGTGTGTGTTTTGTATCTGGTGACTGGAGTCCCTCTGCTTCCTGATCGTCACGTGAGCCGCTTTCTTCCACCACTTCGTCCGCCTCACCTCGAGCCCTGAGGGATGGAGCCAGCCGCCTATGGACTGAGATTTCTCAAACTCTGAGTCCCAAAATAAACTTTTCCTCCCCTAAAACTGTTCTCGTCAGGTCTTTTAGTCACAGCTGCAAAAAAAAGCTGACTCGAAAACCCACGGCGGGGGCACAGGGATGGCTCTGCCGGGCTGCAACCTGGTCCTGCCTGGCCTCCAGGCTCCGAGCCCAGGAAATCCGGAGGTAGGAGAGGGGGACACGGTTGCCACATACCCAGCCCTTAAGACCCTGGAGGCAGGAAGGCCGTCTGGCCTCACCAGTTGCCCTCACAGGCACCTTCCTGGGAGGAAGGGGCTGCCTGTGCCCGCAAAGGCACAGGGGAGGGACGAGGGAGGACGGGAAGGTGTCGCAATCCCCAGGCCCCCGGCCTGTCATTAACGACAGGGCTGGGGAAAGAAGCCCGACTGTGGCCCATTTCAGGAACTTGCCTTGAAGAGTGGAGAGCAGGAGGCCAGGCACGCCTGCCACGGGCTCCAGAGTGAGTAGGGGACACCCAGGGAGGGCTGAGTCCTGATCCACTCCCCCAGCTCTGCCAGGTGCCCGTGGCCGTGGGCCGGGCCAGGCTCCTGTCTTTGAGATGGGTCCCTGGGAACCAGGTGTCTCTCTGGGATTGCATCAGGGAAGTTGCACATACCAACTTCTCTGTGGGGACACGGAGCTGGGCTCACATCAGGGATGGCCGTAACCGTCCCCCCTCTCCTGTCTCTGTCTCTCCGAGGCCGGTGTGGCTGCCTGTGCCAGGCAGCCAGCTCCCGTCTGGGTTTGCTTCACTCTCGGTTCCCATCTCTTCCCCTCAGCCGCCCCCTCTCCGAGTCTGTCCGTCTCTCGCACTTCTGTCTCTTAACCTTAAATTTGAGATGTCAGGTTATTTTCTTGGCCTCTGAGATGTCTCTGGGTCTCTTGGACTCTTTTTCTGTCTTTTGGAAACTCTATTTTGGAGCCTCTTCATTTCTTCTTCTTTTTTCTATTTTCTTTTTAACTGAAGGTTGAACTCAGGGGTGCTCTACTATTGATTTATATCTCCAATGCTTTTTTCTTTTTCTTTTTCTTTTTTTTTTTTTTTGAGCCAGGTTCTCACTAAATTGCTTAGAATGGCCTTGAACTTATGATCCTCCTGCCTCGGCCTCCTGAGTCGCTGGGATTACAGGCACCTTACAAGGGGAAGCCAGAATGAAGCTTTGAAACTGCAGTGTGACTCAGCCCTCCCTGGGTGTCCCCTACTCACGCTGGAGCCCGTGGCAGTGCCTGGCCCACCTACTACCTCTCCAGCCTCATTCTTTATCTCTGTAGGTCTCTACCATTTCCAGCCGTGCCTACCTCAGTCCTTCGGTCCTGCTTTGTTTCTTTTCTGGTTTCTGTTTCTTTGTCTCTTTTCCTTTCTGCCCCTCCCTCTCTTTCTCTGAACCACCTTTGGGAAGCCCTCTCCTTTGACTCACTCCCAGCCCCATCCCCTCCCTCCCTCCCTCCCTCCCTCTTCCCACAGAAAGAATTTCAAAAGAGCAGCAATGGAGAAGGGAGCAGAGGAGGGAAGCAGAGTGTGCTGGGAGGAAGGGAGAGGGGAGAGAAAGAGGGTGGGGCAGCAGCCATTGCAGGCATCCTGAGTGCTGGGGACCGAGGGTCCAGGGAGCTGCAGAGCCCAGCAGAGGTGGCTGGAGTGGCAGGCACAGAGGGACAAGAAACTACAAGGGGAAGCCTAGAATGGGGCTTTGAAACTGCAGTGTGACCCAGACAAAAACAAGGTGGCAGTCCTAGGTGACTGTGACCATTCAGCCAGGGAGTAGGGGACTAAGCCATGCTGGGCTCCATGAGATGGCATCCTGCTTTATGGCTCATGGAAACCCCGGTGGTCACAGAGAGCCCATTTCATTGTCCCAACAACACTGAGAAGCGGGCACTATTGTCACCTCTTTACACAGATGGGGAGACTGAGGCTCAGAAGAGTGAAGTAACTTGTCCAAGGTCACGAAGCTGGTAAGTGGGAGAGCCAGAGGCCGGAGCAGGTGATCTGACTCGGCTCTGGGCTCCCAGCCTCTTTGCATCCTGGCCCTCTGGAGAGTAAGACTGTGCTCCAGGAAGTGGCAGCTCCCCTGCCCCTGGGTACCCAGGACTGCTGTGGGGACCAGGGACCAAAAATGCCCACATTCAGCAACCCAGGGGGAGGAGCCAGGGCTTCTCCGGGTTGACTGCCCACTCTGGACAAGAGCCAGTGTGTACCTCCCTAGGCAAAGCCTGGGCCTGCAGCTGACCCTTGCTAGGGCAGCAGAGCCAGAGAATGACCCAAACCACAGGGAGATGGGAACCAGGATCCCAAAATCTGCGTCTAAAAGGCTAAATCTTCCCCTGCCCATGTGTGTTGGGCCAGGGGGATAACCAAACTAGTGTGCGCTAGTGAGAAGGTTGCCAACCTCTGATTAGTGCTCTGGATGGCTGTGCAAGATTCTCGTGCACAAGTTACCTGGGTTAGGAGCAACTGGGGACTGAAATCCAGCCTGTCCCCCAGTTGGCAGAGGAAGGGGTGCTTTTTCCTCTGATTTGCACAGAGGTGACCTGGGGGCTAGCAGTCATCAGGTATCCTGATACTGCAATACGTAATGATAAATTAGGGGTTCAGGCAAGGCCCAGACAAGCAGGTCAGCCCATCAGGGCCATTCTTATCCAGTCCTCTGTCTGAGAGGGAGAGAAAGATTCTCCTAGCTTTCTCCCTGCAGAGCACAGGAGATCTGCTGGGGCCATGCAGGCTGGTCAGCGATCCCCACTGATCGGACATAGGGAGCCAACTAATGCTGGAGGATCAGGCATATGGCATGAGACCCCAGGGGCAGCAGGGTTGAGGGTTAGGCTGGACACCCACCCTGGTGATAAAAACATGTGTATACTCCCTAAACTGGAGCCAAAGCTCCCTCCATTTAGACACTGTGACAATGACTACAGAAGTCTGTAGTCATGTGCCCCCCAGAACTGGGGGCACTTGAGACGCCTTGTGTGCCCCACTTGATAGCCTCGCAGTCTGCTCTTTCCTGTAGCCGTTGCCATGGCAGCCAGCTTCCTGCGGGTGAGACCTGGAGCCCTGACCTCAGCCACTCTGTGGAGCTCTTAAGGGAGTCTGGGAGGACCTGGCAGGGCTCACCTACAGGACCTACTGGTACTCACAAACATGCAACTGGAGAGGCCAGGAACCTACGCCAAGGGGCCTCTCTGGACCAATGAACGGGAAGGCAGGAGTCAGTGAGGAGAGGTTTCTGTCCTGCCTCCCATCCAAGGGATAAATTGTCCCTTGGGTAGACAGTTTGGAGCAGTGTTCTACAGGGCTCCTTGGTCACTTTCAGTAGATCAACCCCAGTTGTCCACAGAGGACAGTCGACATCACAGCCCTAAGTTGGCTTGCCCTCTTGACCTGTTTCAATCTTGCCAATGTCTCACCTGCTTCTAGGATCTTCCCAAAATAAACTATCTGCATGAAACCCTTGTCTGAGGCTTTCTGGAGAGTGCCTGGCTTAGATAGAGGGAAAAGGGGAAGAATGTCACTCCTTGCTGCTCCTGTCCCTGCCCATTCCTAGAAGGCAGTATGATGACTATAGTGGTCACAGAGTCATTTTCTAATGGACCAGCACAGTGCAAAGCCCTTGTCTTTTATTATTTCGTGTCTTCTTCTCAAAGCCCTGTGAAGTATAGGCTGCTGTTAACTTCATTTTGCAAAGAAACTGAGGTTCAGATAGGTCAAGTAAGTTGGCTAAGCCAGCTCTGACTTCAAATCCTTCACCTTGACTACCCCCCATTTGCCTCCAGGTGAGCACCAAGTTGGCACTATGGCAGGGCTGGAAGCCTGCACCCTGACCAAAGCTGCCCTGATCATCCTGCTGCTGCCCGGAAGTGAGTGTGGTAGGGAGGTGGGGGGTGGGCAAAGAGGCGGGAGGATTATAGGAGCCATAGGTGGGGTAGCTGTGCACCCACCTGCAGGCCTCACCCACCAAGAGGAATGGTGAGAGGGCCTGGGGGGTCAGCCCAGGAAAGGTGGGGGTCCTACAGGTCTTATCTATACATCTCTACCAGGCTGTCAGACAAAACCTCTGGGTCTTTTGTAAGCTGCAAGGGGATCCAGGAGGAGCCACAGGAGACAGGTTTCATCCTAAAATGAGAAAGCCCAGGGAGAGTCCTCCAACCCCAGAAGCTCTGTCTTGAGAGGTAAAGAGCTTCCCATCTCTGAGGGTATGCAAGCTGAGGCCAGGATTGACAGGGGTCAGCAAACTTTGAGAGTAATATTTAGACTTTTCAGGCCATATACAGTCTCTGACATTCTTATGTGGTTTTTATTTTATTTGTTTTTATCCATTTAAAAATATAAAAAGGTTTCTTAGCCAGCAGACCATACAAAAATAGCTTAGGTGGTGTCGGGTAGTGTTTTGAAGTATACAACTTCATAGAGTCCCTTCCAGCCTGAAATCTGAGTCTGTGGAACAGTTAAAGCCCCACGTTGAGAATCGTGAACTTGCTCTGTCACCTTGGGCAAACAGCTCCTCCTCTCAAGACCTCAGCATCCCCATCAGCAAAATGGGCCTCAGAACACCTGAGAGAGGAGAGAGGCATCCGTGGGCCAGGTGTGTGTCCACTCATGATTCAAGAAATAGTCCCCACAGGCCTACTCTATGCCCAGAATGTAGCACTAAGCAAAACGGTCGAGGTCTCTGGCCTCACAAGACTTGAGAGTCTAAGTGGGTGGGGCGCAGTGCCTCATGCCTGTAATCCCAGCAGCTCGGGAACCTGAGGCAGGAGGATCGAGTTTAAAGCCAACCTCAGCAACTCAGCAAGGACCTAAGCAACTGAGACCCTGTCTTTAATTAAAATATAAAAAAGAGCTGGGGATTTAGCTCAGTGGTTAAGCACCCCTGGGTTTAATCCCCAGTACAAAATATATATATATATATATATATATATATATATATAAACACACACACCCCACATGGCTGCAGCCAAGATGATGGTCTGAGTTGGAATGGAGCAAATGAGGCAGGGGTTCAAGTCACAGGGCTGGGAGAAGGATCCAGGTCTTTATCCTAATACTATCAGCAAGCACCTACATGCCAGGCACTGGCACGAGACCCCAGGGGCAGCAGGGTTGAGGGTTAGGCTGTGCCCAGGTGCCTTACGTGTGTGACCACATCTGTTTCTTCCAGTGACACTAAGGTAGGGACCATTTTTATCACCCTTTTATGGTCGTGAAAGGTGAGGCACAGAAAAACCTTAGTGACACACGCAAGAGTTCCATCATTAGCAAGCAACAGGTCCAGGATCTGAACCTGAGCGGTCTCATCCCAACGTCCAGGCTCTGCCCCGCCATGCCATGCTGTCTTCCACACTGGCGTTCCTTTCGAGGGCTGTGACAGAGGAGGGCTCACACAATCAGATTTGCCTCTTGAGGAGACTGTGGTGGCTGCAGGGTTCTTATCACTCTAAACATTGCTTTCATCATGCTCCGGGAGGGGACTCTGGTGGAGAGCTGGGCTGGCTTGCAAGGACTGATTGTGCACCCCTCTTCCCTGCTCTGGTTTGACATCAGTTGTGATGAGCGCATTCACACCATGGGAAGCAGCACGTGCTACAACTCAGGGTCTATAGAGCCGCTGACCATCACTGACCAGCACCACTGTTAGCCTCAAGCAGTGCCCATACCCACCCCCCCTCCAGGTCCCATGTCTTAAGGGACGAGGCAGGGAGATGAGAGCCCTGAACCCAGGCGTGCCCAAGGCCTAGACCCAGCGCAGGTCTGCCAGGCAGAGGAGTCCTTCATGGCCCACTCTCTTCCACCCAGGCTGGGAGGAGTGTGGGCACATCAGCCTCTCGGCCCCCATTGTCCGCCTGGGGGACCCCATCACAGCCTCCTGCATTATCAGCCAGAACTGCAGTTTCCTGGGCCCGGAACCACAGATTCTCTGGAAATTGGGAGCACAGCAGCAGCCTGGGGGGAGTCAGCAGCGCCTGCCTGATGGAACCCAGAAGTCCACCATCACCCTGGCCCACCTCAACCACAGTCAGGCCTTCCTCTCCTGCTGCCTGCGCTGGGGCAACAGCCTGCAAGTCCTGGACCAAGCTGAGCTGCGGGCAGGCCGTAAGTCCTGCAGCCATCTGGCTGCTCTCCTCCAGTGCTCTCCTGCCAGCCCCAGTAGGTGCAGTTACCCAGGAGCTCTTGCTGGATAAGCACTCCATGGGTCTGATCCCAGGGAACTGTCCCTGTCAGTGGTAATACTATTTCGCCCCATTTTGCAGATAAGGAAATTGACATCTGGGAAGAATAAGTGACTTGCCAAAAGTCACACGCTAATAAGGTTGGAACAAGATTTATATCAGGCAGTGTGGCACTCAAGCAGGGTGGCAACCGCTACTTCTCTGTGGCTGAATAAGCCTCAGACCTAGGGGCGGGTCCAAAGAGGGCAGCCTCACCCACTAGGCTTGTGCCCAGCTTCTCCCCCATCCAAGTCTCAGCCTTCTTTCCAAATTGAGCAGGATGGAGTCAAGCTGAGGCATAAGGAGAAAACCAGGACCAAGGTTCTTATTTAAGAATCAGTAATAGCAGTTGGGCACAGTGGCTTACACCTATAATCCCAGAGGCTTGGGAGGCTGAGGCTAGAGGAATGAGAGAGTTTAAGGCCAGCCTTAGCAACTTAACAAGGGCCTAAGTAACTTAGCAAGACCCTGTCTCAAAATAAAAATTGAAAATTGAGGGCTGGGGTTGTGGTTCAGTGGTGGAACACTTGCCTAGCAGGCATGAGGCACTGAGTTCAATCTTTTTAAAATATATTTTTAGTTGTCAATGACTTTATTTATGTATTTATATGTGGTGCTGAGAATTGAACCCAGTTCCTCACACATGCAAGGCAAGGGGATGTGGCTCAGTGGCTAAGTGCCCCTGGGTTCAATCCCTGGTACCAAAAAAAAAAAAAAAAGAATCAGTAATATCAAGTAACAGGTATGTAGGTATATAGCGCTTGCTACGTGCAGGACTGTTCTGAGTACTTCGTGTATGGAAGGCATTCAGTCATCATGATGACCAACAGCCCAGCTTTATGGTTAAGGAAACGGAGTCACGGGGCAGCTAAGTAACATCAAGATCACGTGGCTAATGAATGGCAGCGCCAGAATGAAACCCAGATGCTACACGGCCACAGGAAAGGGGCCTGGGGGTGGGGAGGGTTAGATGCCAGGACCACAGGCTGGTGGGGTTTGGGATGCTTGGCCCTGTATATGCCTGCAACTGGCTTCCCCCAGAGATGCCCCTCCGTGGTCACACTGCAGTGGAGACCGGGGAATGGACAAGGTGACCCCAGAGGGACTCACCCAGGCAAGAAACAAAGCAAGCAGAAGCTTTCTGAGTGGTCCCACCCAAAGCCCTCCATTCTTCCCAGACCCTCCTGCTGTACCCTCCAACCTGTCCTGCTTCATGAACCTCACGACCAACAGTCTCACCTGCCAGTGGGAGCCAGGACCCGACACCCACCTGCCCACCAACTTCACCCTAAAGAGCTTCAAGTGAGCAGGGGCCCTGGCCCAGCCCCCTTCCTCTGATCCTGGGTGGAGCCTGAGTGGGGCCATGGGGCTAGAGGTCCGGTGGCAGAGGTGGGAGGAGCAGGGGGCATCGTCTCCCTTCTCTGCTTGGCACCCAAGCCTGGCCTGTTGGCAGGAGCCGGAGCAACTGTCAGACCCAGGAGGACTCCATCCCGGACTGCGTGCCTGAGGAAGGGCAGAGCTCCTGCTCCATCCCCCGCAAACACCTGCTCTTGTACCAGAATATGGTCATCCAAGTGGAGGCAGAGAATGCGCTGGGGACCAGCCTGTCCCCAAAGCTGTGCCTTGATCCCATGGATGTTGGTGGGTGATACTGGGTGCAGGGGAGGAGAGAAGTCCCCAAAATGGGCAGACCCAGAGATGCACAGAGAGAGAAACACAGACCTGGGGACAGACAAGGAGACCCCAGAAGACCCAGATAGAAAGGCAGAAAAGAGGGACCACAAGGGTACAGCTGGAGACAGGCATGAGGACACAGACCAAGAAACACATTCATCCTTTCTTTCTTTCAGCTAATTTCTTGAAGTGCCTACTGTGTGCTAGGCACTGTTTGAGGTCCTAGGGATACAGCGGTGAATAAAACATCAAAAATTTCACCCTCAGAATGTTACATTCTGGTGGGCCAAATAAATAAAACAGAAGGTCAGATGACCAAGAAGGTGACAACTAAGTAGATCCTTAGAGAAACCAAGGGAGTAAGCCACTGCATAATTTGAGAGGAAAGTATTCCAAGCGGAAGTGACAATCAGTGCAAAGGCCCTGGGACAGGAGTATGAAACCACAGAAAAGTAACGTGGAGAGAGTGAAAAGACAGAAAGAAACAGAGACCACATGGATGGAGACCCAGGAAGGAAAATATAACCATGGACAGGGAGATAGGGAGAGCTAAGGCAGAGCTCTCTTTGGTGAGTCAGGGAGAGGTCTGAGAACCCCACTCCTTGCAGTGAAACTGGAGCCCCCTACACTGTGGGCCGTGGTCCCACGTCAGCCAGGCTGCCTGTGGCTACACTGGGAGCCATGGAAGCCGAGCCTGTTCATGGACCAGGAGTGTGAGCTGCGCCTCCGGCCACAGCGTGGAGAGGCCAACTGGACTCAGGTGAGGCGGGGGCACCCTCAGGGCCTGCAGGGGGCTGAAGGGAGGATCCAGAGACCCAGGCTCAGACTCCCACACCCCCAGGTGGCCACGCTGCCCTCCAGCATCCTCCAGCATGAGCTCTGTGGGCTCCCTCCAGCCACAGCCTACGCCCTGCAGATGCGCTGCATCCGCTCTCACCTGCCCGGCCACTGGAGCCGCTGGAGCCCCAGCCTGGAGCTGAGAACGGCTGATCCGGGTAAGTGGGAGGTGAGGGGTCTGCAGCAGCCATCAGGACCCTCCCCAGGGCCCTCCCCGACTAGACCCCCTCCTCCTCTCGCTCCATCCACAGCCCCCATCGTCAGACTGGACACATGGTGGCGGCACAGGCAGCTGGACCCCAGGACAAAGGGCGTGCAGCTGTTCTGGAAGGTGAGTCCCTCTGAAGCCAACCCTCCAACCCAGGCAGACCCCTGCAGCGGGCTCAGGACTCCAACAGGCCCAGGAGGCTTGGGGCATTTACAGGTGACTTGCAGTTTGCATGTGCCTAAGAAGCCGAGTAGTGACCCTCAGCAATGCAGCAACGCAGGACTCCCCTGGGCCCCAGAGTTCACTCAATGAGTGGTTAAAGGCCTGGAATGGCCACTGGCTTCTCCCTTCCCTCCCCCCTAGAACCTGGCACAGGGAACGGGGGAGGAGGGAGGGAGGAAGCTGGAAGCCTGGCTCCCTCTGGGGCTCAGCTCCTGTGACCTGCCCCCCCACACTAGAGGCTCTTCCCTGCTCAAAACAAGCTGAATACCCCCCTCTCTATTTTCCTCCTCTGCCTGCCACAGCCAACACCCCTGAAGGAATACAGTGGGCAAATCCAGGGGTACCTGCTCTCCTGGAGACCCTCTGGTCAGGCTGAGACAGCCCTGCCCCTCTGCAACACCACAGACCTTAACTGCACCTTCTGCCTGCCTTCAGAAGTCCAGGAGGTGAGCCTTGTGGCCTACAACACAGCGGGGACCTCTCATCCCACTCTCATCCCAGTGGACTTCCTGGAGAGCATCGGTAAGGGGAGCTGGCAGCCAGAAGAACACGGTGGGGGTGGGGGTATAAATTTGAAGGCCAGACTTCCTGGGTTGAAATCTAGTCCTCAAACTCACTGACAGTGTGACCCGGGCAAGTTACTCCCTTCCCTGGCCTCTGTCTACTCGAGCTCACAAATGGGGACGAAACTGTGCCTTCTGAGGGTCCTGACAAAAAGTAACTGCACCATACAGGTTAGCTATTAATACCATCATCAGCCAGAATCAGGTGGTGGTGTCAATACACACACACAGACACACACACACACACACACACACACACACTGAGCTCTGCCTACAAAGCTGAGTGATAAAGCCCTGAGCTTTTCCACCTACAACATGGTCCATGAGCTAACTGATCACCCACCACCCCTGCAGCATCCCTAAACATGGGCTCTCCTACTGCGGGATGCATAACCACAATATCAACAATAACAACTAAGGCTAGAGCTGTGTGACCTTCAATAAATCATTCAACCTCTCTCTGTTTTTCAATTTCCTCATTGATAAAATGGGGACAATAGTGGTACCTCCCTGGTGGGACAGTTAGAAGACTCAGTGAGTTAACCCACATCAAGGACTGTGCCTAGCACATACTAGGAACTCCACAGCGTTCAGGTCGTCATCCAGCACTGCTCACACTTGTCATTGTGCTGTGCCCGTAGTGCACACCATCTCACTTAATCTGCATCAAGACCCTACAGGACGGGAAATTTCATCATCACTTCCACTTTACATATGAGAAAACTGAGGCTCAGAGGTTGACCTGCCCAAGGTGTCCCAGCCAATAGGCAGCAAAGCTAGGATTTGAACCCAGGCTTCGGGTTCCAATGCCTGTGTTCTTCTCACCTTCATTCCACCGTGTCCACTCTGTCTCCAGGCCCACCCCTCACCAGACTCCAAGCCACAGCCCGAGATCCTCACAGTCTCTGGGTGCACTGGGAGCCCCCCAGCCCTCGGCCTCAGGGCTATCTGATAGAGTGGGGCCTGGGTCCCCCCAGCCCCAGCAGCATCAATAAGAGCTGGAAGATGGAATTTGACGAGAACATCACGGGGACCCTGCTGCAGGGTGAGATGGGCCTGAGAGGTGGGGCAGCTGGGCACTGATGGACAGGAGCAAGGGCAGCATCAACCGCCCTCGAGGCAGAGTCCCCAGCCTTGCTTGGGCCCTCCTCCTTCTCACCTCACATCCTCACATCCAGAAGTTCTTCCTGCAGTCCAACCTGGTCCCCTCTCTACAGTCCTGACCCACCACCCTGCTAGCGCTCTCCTGCACTTTTTCTCCCTAACCCCATCAAATGATCTAAGGAAGGGAATGTGACATTGAGCCCTGAGGCCAGGTTAGCCATGGCAACAGTCGGAGGTTAGATCCTGGTCCTCAGCAGAGGTCAGCCCCAACCAGAGCGCCTGCCCCCATTTTCTCTCTACAGAGAACATCAGGCCCTTTCAGCTCTATGAGATCACTGTGACGCCCCTATACCAAGGCACCGGGGGACCCTCCAAGAAAATCTACGCCTACTCCCAAGAGATGGGTTTGTCAGCCTTCAGGCCCCTCCCCCAAACCCCCTCCTCTCTCCTCCAGGGCCTGTGTGGGTCCCAGCAATCACAAATATGAGGGAACATGTCCTGCCTCTCCTGACTCCTGGCCCTGGAGAGGGTCACTCCCAGTCCTAAGATGACCCTCAGTTTACACCAGACCCCTGAAATCAGGTGGTGGGCTAATATAAAGTGGGACCAAATTGGCAGATTTCAGAGATGAAGTCTCATAAAATTGATCAATGGCCCTGACAGAAATCAGGTGCCACATCTGATAGATTCAGAGGGTGAGTGGCAGAGATCAGACAGTGAGTCAGACAAAAGCAGACCTGGCAGAAGCCAGCGTGGGGGAGTAGGTTTAAAGTCAAAGAGAACTGGACTCAAGTCCTGGCTCTGCTCCCTATTAGCAGTACATGTAATTGATAAAATCCCTGCAAAGCCAAGCGCAGTGGCACACACCTGTAATCCCAGCAACTCAGGAGGCTGAAGCAGGAGGATCCCAAGTTCCAAGTCAGCCTGGGCAATTTAGTGAGACCCTGTCTCAAAATAAAAATTAAAAAGGACTGGGGGTATAGCTCAGTGGTAGAGCACCCCTGGCCTCATCAGGACTGGGGGTGAGGGGAGGAGGATGTCCCCTTGGACTCTCTTTTCTCAGCCATCCACAGTATGTCCCAGTTCCTGGGTTCAGGGACCACAGAAGTCCAATCAGTTTCTTTGCCCTGAACCCCTCCCCTGTACTCTCTTCCCACAGCCCCCTCCAGTGCCCCAAGGCTCCATCTAAAGCACATTGGCAAGACCTGGGCACAGCTGGAGTGGGTACCTGAGCCCCCTGAGTTGGGGAAGAGCCCACTCACCCACTACACCATCTTCTGGACCAATCTCCAGGACCAGTCCTCCTGTGAGTCTATCCTCAGCCTCCCACAGTCCCAGAAGGCCCAGGAGGGGGTGCTTGGCAGTCACAGAGGCAGCCTCAGCACCCCAGCCTAAGCTGGCATGTGCCCCATCCCAGCCACCATCCTGAATGCCTCCTCCCGTGGCTTTGTCCTCCATGACCTGAAACCCGCAAGTTTGTACCACGTCCACCTCATGGCTGCCAGCCAGGCTGGGACCACCAACAGTACAGGCCTCACCCTGATGACCTTGGCCTTAGGTAAGGGGAAAGGGGGACTGGGCAGTGGAAGGGTGCCCACTCAAAGGATCCTAATTTGGAAGTAGACCTGGTCCTGCCTGGGGACCTGAGCCTGAGGAAGGAAACCCACCCTTCCTCACATGTCCTCACCTCTCTGGCTTTCCCCTCTCCCTAGGGGAGTCAGAGCTGTACATCTTCCTAGGCCTGTCTGGCCTCCTGGTTTTGTCCATCTGCCTCTGTAGAACTGCCTGGGTCTACTGCAGCCCCAGGTGAGTCCTCTGGGAGGAGTGACACCCAGCTACCCCTACCCACAGGGCACTGCAGGCCAGGGTGGGTCATCTAAGGCCCAGCCTGCCTAGACCTTGGGGCCCATGTCTGGGAAGCCTGACCCTCCACCTCCTCCTCTCTGCACTAAGGGGCAGCTGCTGGGGGAGCGGGACAAAGGATGGAAAGCTGGGAAGGTGTGCCTGACCCCGCCTTTACATGCCCCCCTTCTCCAGCAGGAAGAATCCCCTCTGGCCAAGCGTGCCAGACCCAGCCCACAGCAGCCTGGGCTCCTGGGTGCCGACCATCATGGCAGAGGTGAGGAACTGGAAGAGAGGGGACAGGGGCTGGAGATGTGGGAATCCCTTTCCTTCCCGAGGATGAGCGCACAGACCTCCCCGTCACTTGAAACAAGAATCCTTCCCTGTGGAGTGAAGCCACCCTGAGTTTGAGTCCCAACTTGGCCCATTTCAAGGATTCGGCCAGTCACCTCACTGTGAGATGAGAATATCCACAGTGCCAAGTCTGAGCAGCACATTGCTGCTCCTGTCAGACAGGTGTCAGGAATGTACAGGTGCCTTGCAAATATGATCCTGTGTGTTCCGCCAGATAGCAGCGGGGATGTCCTACAGCTGCCCCAACTCAAGAAGGGACAGTGGCTGGGGCAGACACCTGACATGAACCGTATCCTCACTCCATGTCCTTGTGTCCAGGAGACCTTCCAGCTGCCCAGTCTTTGGGACCCTGGCATGCCAACCATCACCAAGATCACCGTGCTAGAAGAAGAGGAGAAGAAGCCAGGGCCCTGGGAGTCCGGTGACAGCTCAGAGACCTGTGGCCTCCCCACCCTGGTCCAGGCCTATGTGCTCCAGGGGGACCCAAGGGCAGTTTCCACACAGTCCCAGCCCCAGTCTGGCACCAGTGACCAGGTCCTTTATGGGCAGGTGCTGGGCAGCCCCACCAGTCCAGAGCCTGGGCACTACCTCCGCTGTGACTCCACCCAGCCTCTCTTGGGGGGCCTCACCCCAAGTCCTAAGTCCTATGAGAATCTTTGGTTCCAGACCAGCCCCCTAGGGACCCCAGTGCCCCCACCCCAAAGCCAGGAGAACGACTGTGTCTTTGGGCCACTGGTTGACTTCCCCCTCTTGCAGGGACTCCAGGTCCATGGGGTAGAAGAACTAGAGAGCTTTTAAGGCTCCCTGAGTCTCCCCACCTGGACCTGCCTCTTTAAGGGCCTGGACTATCCAAAGGAAGGGTCAATAAATCCATTCATCCCTAAAAACTACCTAGCCCCAGGAAAGGGCCCCCTGTCCCTCTCTTTCCCCCAAGTGACCATGTCCCAGGCCACCTGCATACTTTAAAAAACAGATAACACTCTGTTCCCCCCCACCCTCTAGCTTTTTGTGCTTGTTTTCTGTAATAATCGTCGTTTAAATTTTTTTATTTTTATTTTGGGTTTTGTTATTGTTTTTGGAAACTCTTGAGTGTACTTGAGTCTCTGTTTCTTCTCAGGGCCCTAGCAGTCGATTACAGTCTCCAAATCATCTTCCTCACTTTCCTCCCTTCCCTCCTTCCTTCTTTCCTTCAGCCAGCTCCTATCTAGCATCTAGACCCTGTGCCACAGCAGGATTTAAAAAATGGCTCAGCTCACTCGCTCTCTGAGGGCTCCCATTCTGATGATAGAGACTCAAAACTGATCATTATGGAACAGCAGTAAGTCTTGTGTGCAGGGAGTCAGAGCACTGTGGGACGTGGTAAAGAGACCTTGGAAAAGACTAACCCCTATTGGGGATCCATAATTGAAAACAAAATCTCCTGTCAACTCAGAAACCTTCCCTGTAAGGGCAAAAGAGCAAGAAAACAGTTTTATTATTGAATAAGAATGTGGTGTGCAGGGCAGGCAATCCACTAAAGAGATTGCAAAGACAGAAAGAAATGTTACCATTCTATAAAGCCAAGTGAATACAACTCATGCACATACTTTTTAAAGATGAACAACAACTTGAAGGGAGAATTTATAGCTGGAGGAGGTGGTGCATGCCTATAATCCCAGTAGCTCAGGAGGCTGGGTCAGTAAGATACCAAGTTCAAGGCCAGCCTCAGCAAAAAGCCAGGCGCTAAGAAACTCAGTGAGACCCTGTCTCTAATAAAATACAAAATAGAACTGGGGATGTGGCTCAGTGGTCAAGTGCCCCTGAGTTCAATCCCCAGAACCCCCAAAAAAGGAGAGATAAATAGTGTTCAAGTAAGAGGAGGACTTGATAGCTCCATTTGTCACACAGAGTTCATCCTAAATTCATCTGGTAAATGGGTTAGCTACCTGGGTTTGCTAATTTGCCTCTGGGCAAAGTAAAAATAAACTTTTCTTTATCACAGAAAGATTTGCAGATGGGAGACAGGCATCCGCAGGAAGTTAGGGTCCTACTCTCCCAAAGAAACCAGGAGAGAGATAAGGCACTAATATCCTTCAGGATTACATATCCCAGGCCCTTGAGAAATACCTTCCTGGGTTGTAAAACTGGTAAGAGGTTTACTTACCTTATAAAAAGATTTCCATGCATCTCAAAAGGAATAGAGAAAGAATTCACAATTACAAGTTTTCTTAAAAAAAAAAAATGCTCGAAGAAAAATGAGGGGAGAAGAGTCTTTTCGCACCGGTGAAAAATTAAACTTTAATTCTTATTTTTAATTTACATTTGCCCTTACACCCCTCGTTTCACAAATATTATCATAGTTAACAGTTATTGAATGTTTACTATTTAATCGAAGTGTTCTGCAAACAACTGCCACGATTAATCCTCTCTACAACCTAAAAGAGAGATGCTGTTACTACCGTTCCCACTTAATGGACAAGTACCTGGCCCAGAGAGGTTAAGTGACTTGCTCACAGAGTCACATAGTAACTGGCCGACTTAGGATTCCCGGACTTCCAAAACCGGCGATCTTAGTCACCAGGCTACAAGGCTGCATGAAACGACCCTGTGCCCCATTGATTCTGACAGGGTCTCATCGCGGACCTTCTGGGAGGGAGGGCAGAAGGAGAAGACGAAGAAGGTTACGGAAATTCCCCCTGAAAGCCCCGAAATGACCGAAGCACGAGGCTAGGGACGTAGGGATTAAGGTAGCATGCACGTCCAAGAAAAAGTAGCACTTTCGAGTTTATACAGCGCCGCACAACACTAACCACAGGGCCACGCCCCCAACCTGGCCCGCCTCTGACCAACTCCACCTAACGATCCGCGAACTCACCAAGTCCTGCCCGCCAATCCATTCTCTCGGTCCTCTTCTGCTCAGGCCGAGCAACTGCCTCGATTGGTCGAGCCTGAGCCATCATGGCGGCGCCCGTGTAGCCTTGTCCGTAACCGCGAAGGGGACGGTGGCTGCGGCGCGGGCCCGGTTGGGGTCGGAAGTCACCATGCTGAGGGCCGCATGGAGGGCCCTGAGTTCGGTTCGAACCCAGGCAATAACCCAGGCCCCAGCCTTTGGCCTGCTGGGGAGAGGGAACGCCAGGCTTCTCTCCGACCAGTGGGGCCTGCAGCCTCCAAGTGAGGAGCCGAGAAATGGGACTGCGGGAGTCGGGAGTGGGGGCCAGCAGGGATGGAGGATACCCGGGAACGCGATAGGGGAGAAGAGCAGCGACAGGATGAGGGAGAATGGTGGCTGGCCAAGGAGTGAGACGAGGTCGGGGAGACTTGGGCAGGGGCTGGAGGAGAAAAGGGGCCGGCTCAGCGGCACACCGACCGTGGAGGAAGGGTGATGCGAAGGGCGCAGAAAGAATCAGGGCTGGGTAGTTTAAGGAAATGGGTCTCAGTATTCTCTGTTCTGCGTAGGTCTCCTACAGGCGGCTCGTGGATATGCCGTCCAAAACCCAGGTAGGTGGACTTGGGGCAGGAGAGGCCGCCTGGAAGGCTTGGGGTGGCCAAAGGGACCCTGATAGCGAGTTAGAGCTATTTGATGGGTGGGCAAAGGGGTCAGAAGACCCCTTCAGAAGACTACGTCAACAATATGTAGATCCCTAAGCCAGAAGCCTTCATGAGGGTGGGGGAAGAAGGTATGAACAAGAGACTTCAAAGGGTGAATGCCTGAAAATGAGCTAGCCAGCAAGAGTGCAAGGCTGATACCACCCAGGCCTTCCTAGAATATAGCACTTTATGTCTCCCTTTGCATAACCATTACTAGGTAACTAAGTTGTTTGGGACAAGTTACTTTCTTTGAGTTTCATTTCTAAAATGAATGTAAAAGTATCCATTGGGGAGCTTTATTGTTAGGATTCTATGATAACACAAAGCAAACTTAGCACTGTGCTTAATAAATAATAGTATATATTAGAACTTACTGCTACTAGTGTTGTTTGTATAGCAGCAGAGCAGAGTCTGACTAGAGAGGACAAGTAGATCTACCCCATGTGTATCCCTCACCTCCAAGGGACAGCAGGGATGCAAACACCAAAGCTCAGCTTTTCCTGTGCTCTATACTTGATACTTATGTTTCAGCTGTCCTAAAGCTGTCCTTCCTCAACCCCCTTATTTAATTCTTGAACCAGCCAGCAAGTGTTTGTTGAAAGCTTATTCTGTGCTGGGCTATGGACTAGACTGGGGGGGGGGGGGGGGGTTGTACAAAGGGCATCGAACTCAGTCCTGTCCATTGGAGAGCCCAACCTAGTGGGGAATCTGATAACAGTAGAACCCAGGCAGGTATTTGAGAGGTGCAGGCACAGGTATGAGGTCTTGGGAAAGACCATCTCTTTGCAAATGAAATATCAAAGGAAGTGCCCACAGGGTTTGCAGAGGAAAAACTAAGCCCAGAGATATCCAATGCCGTGTCTGAGACCCTGGATGTCTCTCATAGGGTTGGGGAATATGTGAGGAGAAGCAGTCAGAGTTGACTTGGTGTTTTCCATCCCTATATTTGACAGTCCAGCCCAAGCAAGACAATGATCCACCCCCTTCCACGCTGCTCAAAGACTACCAGAACATCCCTGGAATTGAGAAGTAAGCAGGAAGAAACCCACTTGAGGAGGCAGGGAAAATTGGTGGGAGTGGGGAAAGAGACTTGACCTACTGTATCTTAGGCTTGATTATAAAATGAATAAGAGAGATATAAAGACCCAGGTATAGTCAAGGTGAATGGGCAGCAGGGACAGATGGGACTCTTGGAGCTCAACTACTTGCTTCCCCCCCACACACACACCCCAGTACTCTTGAGAGAAGACCTACTACTAGATAACAAGGAGCTAACATGCTTTGTGGGTCTTTGTAGAAATTTCCATCTCTTGATCCTCACAAAAGCCCTGTGAGAGAAGAAACCATGTCCCCTGTCTTATAGAATATTAAGCTGCCCCATGTCATATATCTCCTAAGAGGCAGAGCTGGGGTTTGAATCCAGTGCCGATAGACACTCAGGTCCTCCTCAGTGGAAGCAGTGCTTCCACTCAAGGCATCCTACAGTCTCACTCAATGTGCAGTTTTGTCTTGAAGTGTCTCAAAGACATATTGACCCATGTCGTAGCTGAAAATGAAAATCCTCCCTTTGCCCTTCCTATGATAAGACTAGAACACTCAAGCCAACAGCTGCAATTTTCTGTAATTATCGTATCACTCCATGTTCTCAGCCCAGCAAGCCAGAGCCATGCAGACTTTTAAGCCCTGGAAAATGGCTCCCCACCTCCAGAGATCCTTATTTGTTGTAGAAGGAATTTCCAATCATCCTTTTTTTTTTTTTTTTTTTAATTATTTTTTAGTTGTAGATGGACACAATACCTTTACTTTATTTACTTTTATGTGGTGCTGAGGATCGAATCCAGGGCCTCACACGTGCTTAAGCAAGTGCTCTACCATGAGCCACATCCCCAGCCCCTCATCCTTGCTTTTTAAACTAAAGTGAAAACAGCATTTCTTCCACTCCCCCCTCCTCCCACACTTGTCATTCATTGCTCTGGTTTTTCCACAGGGTTGATGATGTTGTGAAGAGACTTTTGTCTTTGGAAATGGCCAACCAGGTGAGTGTCTGTGCCTTGGCCTCTCTAGGGCTCCCTCCTACCCTGGTTAGCACCCCACAATCCATGTTTCTCCAGTCTCAGCATGCATCCCAGCTTCACTCTGTGTCTACATGTCAGTACCCCCAGACTGAACACAAGCCATTTCTTTATAAGTGGCTTTAGCCTTGGGCTCATCATATGTGGATAGCCATGTTGTTTGACCAAGGTCGTCATGAGCCCTGTGCAGTCCAGCCCTGAGTTTTCTGGGCCTAGTTGCTATAATGGCAGGTATGGCCTTGCAGGCAGAAGGGCTAGTTCTTAGGGCATGACATACTGCACAGATTTTCTTAATCTTTGTCTTCAACAGAAAGAGAAGCTAAAAATCAAGCAAGAACAATTGATGAAAAAAGTTGTGGAAAACCCTGAGGACACCAGATCCCTGGAAGCTCGAAGTTGGTCAGAGGGCTCTTGGGGAGTGGGGGTGCAGGGGTGTCTGATAGCTGGTACCTGATCTAGGGCTCAAGTACACTTTATCTTGTGAAAAGGAGATATAAGGACCTAGGACAGTGAAAACTGGACTCTGGATCCAAGCTGTGTGTTCTGGAGTCAGCACCCAGGTCCTGCCTTGTACTTCTCTGTGAGCTTGGGCAAGTCCTCAAGTCCTCTCCAGAGCCTCTGTTACCTCTTCTGAATGAGCAGGAAGTTGCAGGTTAGGGCACAGTACTGCTGCCTAACTCATGGCAGGATTGAGAAGCTAGAACACAAAACACACCTTGGAAACTAAAGTTCAACTCTCTGATAAGAAAAGTAAGACAAAGAAACTAAACAAAACAAAAAAAGCAGGCTGGGGATATAGCTCAGTTGGTAGAGTGCTTCCCTCGCATGCACAAGACCCTTAGTTCAATTCCCAGCACCACCAAAAAAAAAAAAAAAAAAGGAAAAGACACATCTACAGAGCCCTTATGTTCCAGAGAGACACTATGAGCACTCCCGAGGGCATAATGTTCCTACTGAGGTTTCCAGCTGGAATTGGCAATAGTCCCCATTAGATGTTCTTGAAAAGCCCCGCCACCTCCCCCTGCTTTTGGTGGTGTTGATCTCCATCGACCACTAGGAGCAATGAGGTAGACTGGTGAACCTCTGGGGGGAGGGGTCTTTGTGTTTCCTCCCCCTTGCCTTTGGACTATATTATAGCCTCTACTTCCTTCTCCCCACCCCTGCCTCCACTCTGTTCTTCTCCCTGGCCAGAGATTAAATCTGGTGAATTCTTCTTAGCAAATAGCCAAAGCTAGACCCCAAGGAGGGGGTCTGGAGGCCCAACTCATGGTCCTTTCTAGCCCCTTTTGAAAAGGTGAGTTTCCAATTCCCTTCAGCCTCCCTGAACCCCTGACTGGCCTGGGGACATCTCATCCACCTAAGGGCTGCTTATCTTACCCTGCCTGTTTCTGTCTGATCACTGCTGAAATCTCCCAGGTTGGCAGGAACAGATGGGCTGTTTGTCAAGACATCAGTGAAGTGGTAACTAGAGTCCTCTTTAACCACAAGCATCGGTGCTATATCACTCAGTTTTCTGAAGGCCAGGCATTTTTTGCATAGTGTCTGCTCTGGAGATCCCTCAGTCTCTTTCTGCTCTGTAGCTAAGGTGGTATGCAGGGCCATGTGGTCAGAGCCAAGGTTCCCACTGCCCTCCCTGCAGTTCACGCAGAATTCTGTGTGTGTCCTGGGAAAATGCCCACTTGAGTGACAGCTTCTCTGTGGAACCAACTTCCGCTTTTCCCCACTTTACAGGTGAGAATCAAGTAAGGTGAAGGGGATGTAGTCCAGGGCCTTGGGAGACAAGTGAGAGCTGACAGTCCTCGAAACTCAGTAGTGAAAGCACAGAAATAAGATGGCAGCTGGAAGAGTTCAAGCAAGGAGTAGATCCAGACACTCCTGGGATCCCATCAGCTGCATTGGCTGGACCTTGAGTACAGTATCAAATCATTAGCCATGAGAGAATGATGTGCTAGTTTCTGAATTTAACGAGAACGCTCTGAAGTTTTACCATTAAGAATGCTGTTTACTATGATTTTTAGATGATACCTTTATAAGATTAAGGAATTTCCCTTCCTAGAGGAAAGACAATGTAAAGTCTTTTGAGATCTTGTAATTTAAAGTGCTTTGGGATTATAAAGAGCAGTACAAGAGCATTGGTGATTGTTACTCCTTCATTTCTCAAAACATAATGCAGGCCTGGGCCCTTCCTTCCTCTGTGCCCAGCTCTCATCCTCTGTGGTTTGTGGTTTCAGTTGTTGCCTTAACCATCAAGATCCGCAATTATGAAGAACACATGCAGAAACATCGAAAGGTAAATCCTGAGCATCATTCACAGTTAAACAGCAGCATCTGGGGGAAAGGAGTCTGGGAGGTGAAGGGCTCTGGGTCCTATGAAGCCAGTGGCTGTAACATGATAGTGCCCTCATCAGCGTCAGTGGGAAAAACACTTCCCTCTGGCCTCCAAAGGGAAAATGGGAACCTTACAGAGCTGGACCAACTCACTAGTGGTTAAGAATGATGTTAAGTTGGGGTTGTGGCTCAGTGGTCGAGTGCTTGCCTAGCACATATGAAGCATTGCGTTTGATCCTTGGCACCACATAAAAATAAAATAAAGTACTGTGCCCATCTACAACTAAAAAAAAAAATTTTTTTTTTTTTAAAGTTTAAAAAAAAAAAAAAAGTTTAGAGCATGGTCACTGGGTCTGGCACACTGTGGGTGCTGAATAAATATTTGTGGAGTGCATGAATAGAGTCAGATTGCCCTGTTCAAATCTCAGCTCTGCCACTTCCATTTAACTAGCTGTGTGACTTTGGGGAAGTTACAGGTCTGAGCCTTGGTCTCTTATCTGTAAGTTGGGGAATATGAAAGTACCTGCTCACAGCATTGCCTGGGCTACCTGAAATGATAATAGCAGCCAGCATGATGGATAGGAAGTCTTGGGCCCTGTGCTGTATGCTTTACCTGCATTTTCTCATTTTTAACCCTATAACTGTTGTTCTTTCCCATTTTACAGAGGGATAGTCCAGTCATGGAGAGATTACATTTTTCCTCAAGGCACACTACTAGGGAAGTAATGGTCAAGACTTGAAACAAACGAGTCAGCATTGCTGCAGATCCCACATGCTTGACCATTATGCCCTATCAGCACAGTGTCTAGCACAGAGCTGCTATAATTAGGCAAATTAGGCAGTTGTGATTTGTGTGTGTGTGTGTGAGTGTGTGTTGCTGGAGATCAAACCCAGGGCCTTGTGCATGTGAGGCAAGCACTCTACCAACTGAGCTATATCCCCAGCCCCAATTGTGATTATTTTTAATAAAATACACTGGCACTTTAGTGCTCTCTGGAGCTAGTTGCTCCTTGGAGATCACATTGGGTGTGGAATACCAGCCCCGCTGCAGAAGCCCCTCATAAAGCAGCCCCCAGCCATGGGCATGGATCTCCAGGAAGAGTACAAGGCCTTCCTTTGTCTCTACCCTAGCTAACAGTTTGCTAGCTGTGGAGAGACTGAGCAGGTGGTATAAGGGAAAGAGCATAAGATTTGGAGTTAGCTCAGTAGACCCGGATTCAAGACGCTACTTCAGCATCAACAGGTTTGAGGACCTTTTGTAAATCATAACATCTTTGAACCTTTATTTTCCCATCTGTAAAATGCAACCAACAATGACAGTGCCTTCTTCGGAACTGCACTAACATTTGTCACAACAATAACACTTAGAATACTAAAAGTAACACAGATTTTCCTGCAGGATAAAGCACACAAACGCTATCTACTGATGAGCATTGACCAGAGGAAAAAGATGCTTAAAAACCTTCGTAAGACCAACTATGATGTCTTTGAGAAGACATGCAGGGAACTGGGAATTGAGTACACCTTTCCCCCTCTCTATTACCGAACTGCTCACCGCCGCTTCGTGGCCAAGAGGGCTCTGTGCCTCCGGGTATGAATCAGAATTGCTCCTTTGGTCAGCCTCACTGGGGCTTTGATAAAGGGTGCAGAAGGGAGAGATAACCTGTCTTTGTTAGAAGCCTAGAACTGGCTTCAAGGAGGTCACAGGTCACCAACCCCATGGAGGAAGCCTGGGCTTACCACCTGAGGGAGATGGTTCCTACCTGACCTCCAAGTCATAGGTTTTGCATATGATTACAAAGTCTTCCTGCCTCCTTCCAACCCGCAGGTTTTCCAGGAGGCAAAAAAGCTGAAGAAACAAAAAAGGATATTAAAAGCTAAAGCTAAAGCTAAAGCTGCAGCAGCCCCAAAACAAGATGACCAGGAGAACCCAGAGAGCTCTTCCAAAGCCTGTGCAGATGTACTCAAAGAAAACCAATAAAGTCTGTTAAAATTATTTAATTCTGCCTTGAGTGATAGAAGACTCCATTCTTTTTGGCCCAAGAAAGAAGGGGTGGGGGTATTTTCTCATTGAGCTCTAGGATCTCAAGGGTGTCTGAGTTCCTGCCCTCTACCTCCTGAGAACACAGGCATACAGACCTGTCATCCAGGAGCATGTGTATCAGGGCAGGCAAGGCTGAGCACAGGGCAGCATGGTAGAAGAGTGGCTGGCTGGATGGGAAGGCCAGCTGTAGGAGTCCTAAAGGATGAGTAGGAGTTCACTAGGCAGAGAGGGAGGGACAACATCCAGGCAGAAGGGACTGCAGGTGCAAAGACAAGTCTAGAAGTGCATGTTGTGTTCAGGGAGCAGTGGAAGGCAAGCTAGGCCAAGAAACCTTCACGCTGTCCTCGAGGGAGTGGAGAGGAGGTTAAAGTCAAAACCAAAAGAGTGATGCTAACAGCAGGCCTCTGTTTTTAGTAATTAAGCAGCAGCTATGAGGAGGGTAGATGGGAAGGGAGAGATAAGAGAAATTCATTATTTGGGGGATAGGGGTTTTGGTGTTCACATTGAAAATCTGATTTAAAAAACAAAAAACTACTAGTCCTAGTAGTTTGCACGCCTGTAATCCCAGCTACTTGGCCAGGAGGATCACAAAATAAAAAGGCTAGGAATGTAGCTCAGTAGTAAAGTACTGGAGTTATCTCAAGGTCCCAAAAACGAAAACAAAAAACTATTAGTCCTATCATCAGGAAACTAAACTACACATATACAAACATTGCTTTTAAGATCCGTGTGTGTTGGGAGGGAGGTTTATAAATAACTCCTTCCCCATAAATCCCACCCACTTACACCAAGTGCCAAGGCCTCAGAGCCTGAGCATACTTTAGTGTTTGAAGCATCCAATGAAGACAATGTGTCAAATTCAGTGAGCAAAAGAAGAATAAGAAGATGAGGTCAGCAGACATCAGATACAGAGCTTTCTGGGTATGAAAATCTGCTCAGGCTGCCAAAACAAAGGACCAAGGACTAGGTGGATTGAACAACTTGTTTTCTCACAGTTCTAGAGGCTGTGAAATCTAAGATCAAGGTACTAGGCAATTTCATTTCTGGTGAGGGTGCTCTTCCTAGCTTGCAGAGGCCACCTTCTCATGTCTTTATATGGCCTTTCCTTGGTTTGTACACTGGAGGGATAGAGAAAAGGAAATCTCTTTTTCCTCTTTCTCTAAACCCATCAAGAAGGCCCTGCCCTCATGGCCTGACTCCTGTTACCTCCCAAATGCCCCATCTCCAAGTACTCTGTAATGGTGAAGTTAGAGCTTCAACATGTTAACAGCGGGGGTTGGGAGGGAGGACATAAACATTAAGTCCATAACTTGAGAAAAGACTTTGGACTTCTGAGAAGGGAAGCCATAGAAGAAAACCAATAAGGGAGAGGTAAGTTAAAGCACTATCCAAAGAGCAGTTAGAATAGATTCCAGACTCAGTAGGGAGGTTAGGACCAGAGCAGCTTGCAAGTTGCTAAGGTGGTTGAAACCATGAGTGTGAATGAAATTGCCTAGGGAGGGAGTGCAGTAGAAAAAGGGCCAGATTGGCATTAAAAGGATGATTCTCGAGGGCACAGCCTTACCCAGAATAGTTCAAGTTGAGAGGAAGGTATGGGTAGAACAGAGAGCCTGGGATCCTGCAGAATCAGAAGCAAGACAGAAGCTCTGAACAAAAAGTGAGCTGTTCTGGTATCACCTCCAGGAATAGTAGGGAAGGCCTTTAAAAGACAGGACTTCCAAGTGAACACAACTACTAAGAGATCTTATGCTAGAGGCCAAGCACCAACATTTTAGGGGGCTAGTGGAGGGAAAGGAGGAAGAAAAGGAAGACATGAATATATCAGGCTCTACAGAAAAGGCACTGCTTTTAGTGCTGGCTTAGGTACATTACCTTAACTACTAGTCAAAGCCATCTTTATACCTTACATTGGCTGATTATCCACATTTTACCATGAGAGAGGTAAGGCTCAGAAAGATTAAGTTATGTATCCAAGTTCACACAGCTGGTTAGAGACAGGTTTAGGATTCAAGCCAAGCTCCAAAGCTCATATTCTGCCCACTACAACATACTGCCTAGGTACTGAGAAAAAGTCTAAGAAGCTAAGAGAAGAGCCTTCACTATAGCAAACACAAATGCCTTTAGGAGCCAAGCTGGTAACAAATTCATGAAGGACTAGCACAAAGTAATGATGCTGTTTATTCTATTCCTATCCTAGTTATATTTCCTTTTAACACTGTACACAGACAAGGGGAAAATGACCAAATCAAAGATGGGCTGGCAACTTTGAACAGATCATAGTCCTTATGTTGATGTGTCAGTTAAGAGAAGGACCAAATAGTATTTGTGGTAAGGCAGTCTCAGTGAGGTGGAGGGAGCTTAATCCCAAATACTGTGAGGTGGGGAACAAAGATGTTAAGGAAGCTCAGAATGTAAGTGCAGACGATTTCATAAACTTTAGCTGGGAAGAGAAGGAAAAGAAAATAACTAGAGAGGGTGAAGGATACAGGGAGAAAGTAACATAGGAAGGACTTGAGCTTGGCTCATGTCAAGGCAAGGCTTTCCAATGGTATGGTTATGAGGAAGAGAAGGGGAGCAAATTGCCCAAAGGGGATAACTTGCTGATGAGAGGAGTTCTAAAGCGAGATGGGGGCAGGGTGGTGAGGATGACTCTGGAAAGGTCGTTGGGAGCCAGAGAGTCTTGGATGCCATGCCTAGGCATCTGGACTCTGGTCGGCCAAACAGCAAGAGATATGTCATATTAAAAGTCATGTCTTCTAGTCGGGCGCAGTGGCAGACGCCTGTAATCTCAGCAGTTTGGGAGTCTGAGACAGGAGGATGGCAAGTTCAAAGCCAACCTCAGCCCAAGGCGCTAAGCAACTCAGTGAGACCCTGTCCTAAATAAAATACTAAATAGGGCTGGGGATGTGGCTCAGTGATAGAGTGCCCCTGAGTTCAATCCCCAATACAAAAAAAAAAAAATTCATTGAGTGCTTTTGTGGCCTTTCCCATGATCTCACTGATTTCCTCTTCAGGGGTGGGCGTTACCTCAATTTTACCAACGAGTTAGCCGAGGCTCAAAAACCTACCCGAAGTCACCCAACAAGGAGACCGCGGAACAAGGCAGCCCAGGTCAGTCCGAGCGGAGTCGGCCGCGAGACGTTTTGCTGCGGCTCTCCTCGCTCACTGCCGGCAAGGCCGGAAGGGATGAGGCACGACCCGGTGGGCTGTGCGGGCCGAAGGACCGCCTCTGGACGGTGGCTGCGACCACCGCGGCTTAAGAAAATCCAAACCAGCGCGCCCCAAAGCAAGCCAGCGACCCTGCGGCACTCGGCTCGGACCAATCCCCAGGGCGGTCGCTGCCGCCCAACCCAATGAGCGTCCGCCCTCAGGGCACCTCTCACCAAACTGTCTTCTTATTGGCTCGCTCTTCCCGTCCGCGGCGTCGTCTTAGCAACCAGGCTACAAGACGCGGCTGGGCCTCCAGGCCCCTGTCTACAGTGCCCCAGGGCTCCTCACCTGCCCTACTGGCTTCCAGCACCATGTCTGTGCGGACGCTACCTCTGCTATTTTTGAACTTGGGCGGGGAGATGCTTTACATCCTGGACCAGCGGCTGCGGGCCCAGAATATCCCCGGAGACAAAGCCCGAAAAGGTGAGAGGCGCCGGGCAACACACCAGACCCGCACCCGGGTTCCCTCGCCCGCACTCTTAACACCCACAGCCAGACCTGCACCCTTCAGCCCAACTCCTCAACCAGGCCCACACTCCTTGCACACTTCACCCCTATAGTCAGAGACCTTTCTCACAAGCCACAACTCCCATCCAGTTGGAGACTCTCGGAAGTCAAATTCTCCAAAAGCGTCTTCCATTGGAATTTAACACCTCCATTGGATATAATTAGAGTCCCTAGCCTGCCTAATTTCCCTATTCCTCCAAATGGAAGAGGTGATCTAACAATTTCCCTTGAAAATAGGTCCCTTCCAAAAGTGGGAGTCCCAGCTGCTCACCATCTAGCAACATTATCCTTCGCCAGACCAAGCATCCTCTTTAACCTCCAGGAAAAGTTTCTGATTCTCCATTTCTCTATGTTGTGCCCTCCCGCTTAAGCTGGAAATCAGTCTTGCTCATTTCAGAAGACATTTCTAGAAATGTAAGGTTCTAAGCCCAGCGCAATGGCCCATGCCTGCGACACGGGAGGCTAAAAAAGGAAAATCTCAAGTTAGAGGCCAGTCTCTGCAACTTACTGAGACCCTGTCTCAAAATAAAAAATAAAAGGGGCTAGAATGTAGCTCAGTGGTAGAGCACTCCTGGGTTCAATCCCAGTACCAAAGAAAAAAAAAAGAAGAATGAAAAAAAGAGAAGAAAAAGAAATGGGTTCTAATATAGTGAAGATAAGTAAGAAAACATAAGGAAGTCATGTCTTTGCCTTAACAAGTGTTAGAGGGGAATGCAATTGTGAAAATATTTTGCTAGAGCTTCTAAATTGCAGAATCTGGTTTCCATATATGCCACATGTAATTCCCAGAGTAGTGACAACCCAGAACAGTCTGCCACTCTTTTCAACACTCTGTTTTCCTCATCTCTCAGCAAATAATTGTTTTCACCAAATTTTCTCAGATTAAATAAGAAGGAAATATTAAAATTCAAAGTAGAGGAGGAAAAGTTGATATCAAGGCAATTGGTATGACCACTGATTAAAACATCTATTCTCTACAAAAGTCTATGCCCAATTGATGTTATATATACATATTCAGATATTAATTATTGTATTCGTGTGATTCCAAGTGTGTGAATAAAAAGATAAGAGAACTTCCTATTGTACACCCCATCCATTCATTTTGCACACTACTGCCAGTGGGCTTTCTGGATTTTATCCAGATTTTATCTAGATCTGTTCAGACATCCCCCTGCTTAAAACCCTTTATCACACCTGGCAAGTTCAAAGCCAGCCTCAGCAATTTAACGAGGCCCTAAGC